GGGGCAGGGGCCCCCCGGGGGGGCGGGGAGCACTCTCCCCTCTGCGCTGCGTTTTGGGGATCCCGGGCCCCCCCGCCAGGCTCTCGGTGAAGCCGTCGTGTGCCCGTGTGCCCAGGCCGCTCAACAGCCCGCGGTACTGGACTGCGTTCGCGGGGACGCTGCGGCAGTCGGGCATGTTCTACTGGGACGCGCACCATGTGGAAAAAGTCATCGCGCACCCCGATTACGACTCCAGCACCAAGAACAACGACATCGCTCTCTTTAAGTTGCAGTCGCCGCTGACTTTCAACGGTAGGCGGCTCGGCGGCTCGGGTGACCCCCAGACCTGGAAGGGGACAGGGACAGGAGGGCGGAGCCGGATTCCAGGGTCTCTGAGCCGCCCTGTACTCCTGGGCCCCACGACCTGCAGCTGCGTTCCCGAATCTGACCACTAGAGGGAAGTAGCGCCCTAGGTGACAACACGCAGCGTCCAGAGTTGTAAATCGTCGGGGGACAGAGTTAATTTTTAGCTTTAGGTCTTCACCCACATTCTGAAAGCAAAGAATGCAAAAGTCATAATTTAAACATACACTATTTCCCCTGCCTTTTTTCTTTTTGTGGTTCTTGAACATAGGGTCTCACACATTGCTGGGTGAGCGTTCTACCACTGAGCTACATCCCAGCCCTATTTTTATTTCATTTTGAGATAGGGTCTCACTAAATTCATCATGCTGGACTCAAACTTGCAATCCTCCTGCCTCAGCCTCCCAAGCAGCTGGCATTACAGGTGTGTGCCACTGCACCTGCCCCTTAGCTTCTTAGTGGGGCTGGGCTGTAGTTCACGCATGGCTCACTGTTGGACCGGGACCCGCCTGTCCCCCACTTCGGTTTATAGGGGCAGGCTCTGGAAGGGAGCTTCTCTTTTAGAGCAGGGGCAGGTGGGAGGCCAGGAGCACTGGACCTGGGCTTTGGGGCCCCGTGGGACGCTGTGGACGGCCAGGTGGAGGCCCTCTCCGCGGCCTTTGCTAGCCACGCTCTCCCTCCTTGGAACAGACAGAGTGAAGCCAGTGTGTCTGCCCAACCCTGGGATGCAGCTGGACCCCAGGCAGGAGTGCTGGATTTCCGGGTGGGGGGCCACCTTCGAGAAAGGTGAGGCATGTGGAGCTGCAGGACGGGGTGGGGCTGGGGCTCAGACGTGGGGGGGGCTGGGTTTCCATCCCAGGAGTGTGACTCACAGTGGATGACACTGGGCAATTTCTCAGGCTGTGCCTCAGTTTCCCCCATCCACTTCAGGGAGCAATCACAGTGGCCCCACCACAGGGGAGGGAGGGCCTGGCACTGGGACGGGCTGAGGGAGGGTGGAGGAGGGGAGACCAGGCTTCCTGTCTTCTGGCGAGAGCGGCTGGCTAACGTCCCGTCCCCAGGGAAGACCTCGGATGTGCTGAACGCTGCCTCCGTGCCCCTCATCGAGCGCTCCACGTGCAACCACGTGCCCTACTACAACAACCTGATCACGCCGGCCATGATCTGCGCGGGCTTCCCGCAGGGCACCGTGGACTCCTGCCAGGTGACTGCCGGCTGCGCACAGCCTCCGGGAGACACGGCCGGCTCCGGGCCAGCTGGGGAGCTGCTGACCTGAGAACTCAGGTGGCAGAGGCGGGTGCTGCCCTCGCTGGGAAGGCGGGCTCGGGAAAGCAGCTGTGGCTGGAGCAGAGTGGCTTGGCGGTTCCTGACTCCGAGTGGTACCCGCACCGTTAGCCAGTGGGGAAGAAACCTTCGGGGTCGGGTCTGGGCGGGCGCCTTCCCCACACCCCTGCCTCAGGGGTGGCAGGAGCTGGCAGGCGACTGGGCTTTCCGCTGTAACTCACCGTGTCCCCCAGGGTGACAGCGGAGGGCCGCTGGTCACTTTCCAGAACGGCATCTGGTGGCTGATTGGGGACACGAGCTGGGGGACCGGCTGTGCCAAGGCCTACAGACCCGGGGTGTACGGGAACGTGACCGTGTTTGCAGACTGGATCCACCGGCAGATGCGGGTAACGCTACCCCGCCCGGGCCTCCACAGAGCGGCCGCTGTGGTGCCCACAGCACTGGGGCCCGGCCCCTCTGCCCTCCTGCCCTGCCTCTCCTGAGTGGGGAGCACCCAAGGCGCCAGGTGGCCTCAGCCGGTTGTGTCTGCTAGGTGGACCCCATGCCCATGTCCCCCTGGTCACCGCCCACAGCCCCTGAGCTCCAGGTGGAGCAGGACCCGGTGCTGCAGAGCTCGCGGACGCTGACCCAAGCTGCATCACCAGGGAAGGACATCTTCCCACCTCATGTCCTCAGAGTCCCCTCCTCCTTCGTCCTTTCGAACAGGTGAACAGCTAATCCCAGGGCTCCACCCTGATGCCCAGCACGTGAGCACCAAGGCCGACGCAACTCCCAGCTGTGGCCCCTTCCCTCTTCTGAGCAGTGATTGCTGACCGCACTGTCCCTGTCCTGTGCAGGCTCCAGCCTCTCTCCCCACCCGCTGTCCCTGACCCCTGGCCCAGAAGTGGGGGCCACTGGGTCCTTCGCCCAGCCTGTTCCGGGTGGGCCTGGATGGTGGCCTCTCAGTGACCAGGTGGCCCGAGCAGGAAGGAGTCAGGCTGGGCAGCCCTCAGGGACAGAGAGGGCCACCTCAAGGGACAGCAAGTGAAAGCCTGTGGCCTGGCTCTCCACACACGGTTTGGTCTGCTGATTGGTGGTGAGAGGGCAGGGGCACTGGGGCCTTTGCACTGAGCTAAATCATCCCCAGCCCTTTTTAAATTTTTTATTCTGAGGTAAGATCTCACTAAGTTGCTAAGTTATCCAGCATGGGCTTAAAACTGAGATCCTCTTGCCTCAGCCTCTCGGTATGCTGGGATTACAGGCATCCACCACTGTGCTGGCCTGGTCTGGTCATTTCTCTTGTGCCTTCTTAACTGTCCAGGTGACACCAGCTAGAAGTCAGCTGCAAATCATGGAATAGCCAGCCCTTCTCGGCTGGCAACCTGATAGTCACTCGTGAGGGCAGTGGAAACCATCTTCTTCTCTTGGGGCTGTGACAGGAAGTACAGGGAAGGGGAAGCCTGTGCCCATTTCTGCTGCACAATTCGGGAGCTCCCCTTGGGGACACCTAGCCTGGGTCCCATACCCCTCCCATCTCTTCTGGGTCTTGGACACGGCCAGGTGCCTTGAGGGCCCTGTCAGTGCTCTGGTCATGTGGAGATGGGTCCACCAGGAATCCAGGGGCGCGGGCCCTGATGCCTCTCTCACTACCTCGGCACCCCTGGAACCCTGGCTGTTGCTGCCCCTTGAGGAAGGTTGCCTGGTTTCCATCTCTGAAGCCATCGGTGTTGCTCCTCTGTGCCTCTAGGGACAAAGACGAGAAAGTGTGGGCGTTGGTCCCTCTGCCCTGGGTCCCACAGAATGAGGGGCCACTCGTGCCCATGAGCCCCCTGCGCGCAGGTCCGGCTCTTTGCTGCTCCATGCCCTCCCAAGCATACGGGTTCTGGGGTCCCACGTGGGGACTCTGCATGGGGACAGGGTGCTTCCTGCTGGCCTCTGTGGGCGCAGCACCCTGGCCCTTCCCAAGATCCCCTGCCACGGCATCTGCCCCACCAGGCTGCAGTGCCATCCTGTGGGACCGCACATCCTGTGGGACGGCAGTCTGTCCCCTGCTCTGTGACTGTTCTCAGCTGCAAGATTCAATGACGCAGTATCGTGCAAATAAAAATCTCTAATTTTTCCAGTCCTTGTCCAGTCTGCAGCTCTGCCTGATGTGCGGATCTATGCTGTGTCTCATTTGGGCTGGGCGAGGAGGGTGCTGGTCGGGTACCCAGCAGAGGCTGGCAGGACCCTCCAATGTCTCCCCAGGGGCCTTGCTAGGCTCCCACTCCCCGGAGTCAGACTCAGACCTAGCCTGTCCTCCTCTCTAGCCAGGTTGGTTCGTGGTAGAGGAGATACCTCCTCAATCTGTATTCATCCTACTCCCCTGTCATTGGGATGATGGCGGAGAGAAAGCCTGGCTATGGTTCTCTGGGCGAGGACGGAGGCCACTCTTCCCAGCATTCTCCAGGACAGAAACCACTCCTCCCAGCATTCTCCAGGACAGAAACCACTCCTCCCAGCATTCTCCAGCCCACAACAGGTGACAGGAAATGGTGGCCATTGGCTCCAGTATGTCAGAGTGTATCCAGGATACTGGGGGGAAAAAGTGAAAATGTAAAGTATACATTTTGCTTTAGCTAATCAATTCCTAGCAGAATACCACTCTGGCTAAGCACTGTGAACGTGGCGTTGGCAATGCCAGGCTGCTTCCCTGGGGGAAGCAGAATTAAATGCCCTTCCTGGGTGTCAGGGCTACCATGTGTGCATAGGCTGGTGTGCATGTGTGCCAGGTTCACTGTGTTTCTGCCTCGGTGCTGGATGTAACATGAGGACGGACTGCAAAATACACTAAATGTTTAAATTCAAAACTTCCGCCAAGAATCCTCCTCAGAATCTTCCCCCTCGCTTCAAACACGCTCTTGGCGATGGGTCTTTAACTGTAATAAACTGAACCACGTGCTGTGCATTTCCACCTCCCCTGCGTAGGGTGTGGAGAGGTGGAAGAGGAGGCCCGGCAGCAGCGTGTAGCTTGGCCCAGATTGGGCGTCCCTCTAACAGCTCCATTAGATGATTCTGCCTTCTCCGGGTGAGGGTGCCATTCTGCCTGGGTCCATGGCAAACAGCGGCGTCACCACCAAAACCCACAAAACTGCAAACGCTGGGCACTGAAGAACGGGGAGCAGGAATTAACCTCACCGAATGGATGGGCTGGAGAAGAAGAACAGCGCCACCCTGCGGGCTTCCACGGGGACGCACATCCGGGGACAAAGATGCCCGTGCACGTCACCCCTGCTGCCGGTGGATTTGGGGCTACAAAAGACGTTAACGAGTCGCTAATTCACAAACAGGCTCAGGAGCAGTGAGGGCTCATTGTGTGGCGGTGTCCGGTGGGCAAAGCAGCTGATCGCATCTCACAGCGTGGACATTCGACTGTATTGAAACTCACCAAATTTGGTACTCAACGCACTTCGTCGGGAAAGTTTCTGTCTAGGTCCTTGTCGCTGGCCTTGCGCTAACTGCCTCCTGACACCTTCCCTTCCCAGCTATCACTTTCTTCTCGCTGGGACACCACACCCCACACTCAACCTGGAGGGGGAGAGGTTGAATTTGGCCCAGGGTTCCAGAGGATTCAGTCCATGGAGCACCGTGGCAGAAGGGCACAGCAGGCCGACGCTGCTCACCTCATGGCGGCCAGGAAGGAGAGCAGGGGAGCAGGGCCAGAGCAGACTGGCACCCAAAGCCACCCCTCCATGGCCACTGAGACGCACTCAGGCACATGGGCCACCAGTCCCACAGGTGGATCCGCAGCCGATCAGACTGACCCACTTCCCCATTCAGCCCAAGCAGTTTAGTTGGTACTCACCGGGCCTCCCAGGGCCAAGGAACAACCGATACCAGGGCACTGCATATTTTTCATATTGGAAATGATTTTACTTTTGGATGAGGGTGGATTTCACAAGAAAGATGTGGCCACAATGGTAAGAGGTGAGGAAAATATCAATGTTTCTGTGTTTAAATGTTTATTAAAATCACAATTAATTTGCATAATAAGTGACCCCAGAACGCTCCTTAGTGCGCAGCTCAGAGATGGCAGCGAGGGCACACTGCACCACAGAGCTGGCCGAGACCCCAGGGTACAGCCTCACCCTGAGCACCGGTCCCTGGGCTGTTCAGGGCCCCTTCTTCGATTCGGCTATGACTCACCTGATCTGGCCCTGATTTCAGAGCCTTTTTTACTTCAGACCAAGGCTTTGGCCAAAGAGCAATGGCCCATGCTCCCCCCACCCCCGGCCAGGGGAGCCAGGTCAGCCCGGGAACTTGGCCAGCCTGCGCCGGGCCTGGCCCAGCCGCTCCAGCCGCGCCTTCAGG